CTTTTGACGCATTTATAATTTTCAGATACATACATGAGTAGCTGCGAGAATTATTTACTATTCAACATATCGTCTAACTCAAATCTCGGATTAATTTTTCTTATCAATAGTGTGACTAATAATGTTCAAAAGGCCAAGAGTTTGGTTTCTTCTTTTATGTTAGGCAAAAATATGGAAGTGTTATAGCAAAGAAAAAAAAAAGAAAAGAAAAACGTGGGTGGGTCACTGTGTCTATGACATGTCCAGTGCAAAGAATTTGTTCTTTTCCACAATGCACCGTTACTTTAAAAATATAAATACATTATTTTTCAATTTAGTTTGCAATATATAAAATAGACAAAGATCTTTAATTTAAGTTATATTCCATGTATTTAAGAAAATTTGACCGGCCTATGGGGACACACGTTCCCACTGAAATTTGAGGGGGAAAAAAAATTCTAATTTTAATATAAATCAAAGTCAATAACTAATTTTAACCATATATTTTATGTGATCTACAATTTTTCAACCACAAGTTTTATCAACTATTATTAAAATCTATTAAAAATCTGATTTTAATACACCAAAAAAAAGGCTTAATTGACTTCTTTGCTTTTACTTTTATTTTAGGGTTATTCCGTGTTTGAAAAAAAAAAATTTGTAAACCCTCACTGAATTCGTTTCCTAATTTCGTTTCTGCATATTAGGCACCTTCATGTGAAGAGTGTTAAAAATAAAATACAATAAATGGTCTTGAGTGGAACTAGAAAGTTTCAACTAAGCAATATTTAGAGTAACGATACTTTATTGGGATTGCAACCTCAATTTAGGTAACGTTGATATGACATTAAATGATAAGTGGAATTAAATTACTCATTTAACTTCACCTTTCATTTAACCTATTATCTAACGCCACCTAAATTAGGGTTACAAACCCTAGGACTACGTAGCATTATTCATATAGTTATGCCCATCGATTTTCCTTTAACCAAGGATTTGCCTCATTTGTTATGCCACTTTCCACTTTTTTTTTTATTATTTTAATAAAATGAAGTACAAGAAAGGAGGGGGACATTGAAAAATGCTACAAATGTCTTAAAATGAAATGCAAGAAGCAGTAAATGAAAAATGAAAAAGTAGGGGGAAACCACTCAAGGGTACTTTCGAGGGTAAATCTTCGGGTGGTAGTACATAGACATCGATCGGGTCATGTGTCTGGTTTGAAAAAATTATGGGTCGTAGCAGTCTGCGTAGTCGGGCTAGCTCTTTGGAGAGGGGTCTCACCTGCGTAGGTGAATAATACTGTCCGGGTGATGATGCGCTGAATGTCGGGCGAAAAGCAGGTGCATCTAATCTCATGGTGCTCTGTGCTGCAACATTTGAAGCATGTGAGAGTGAACTGCTGACTGTAGGTATGTCGTCCTCCACGTTTTGCACGCAGTCTCCAAGTCCCATGCCATTCATGTCTCTTTGTATATGTTCCTTCACCTTATGCCGTGTAGGAGCCGTGTTGGAAAGACTAGGTGAAGGTGTATGCATAGGATTCTTACTTTCAGAAGGTCCCTCACCAAAGAACTTGATAACCAAGTCCTCAATGGTTAGTCTCATGATAGATCCAACATTCATGCCATGGTCCTTCTTAAAGTGATCAATCAACATATGCTTAATACTGTGTCATTCTGAGCTTATCCCAGCCAACAACCCTTGTACAATAGTGGTATGAGGAACTGTTCCTGTAGCTAAACCCTGTGCTGACTGAGTGCCATCTATGTGTGTCTTCAATGGTGGAAAAGTAATCTATGTTGGCTCATGGGCTGCCTCAGTAGAAGGGGTAGGAATATGAGCTATGGCAGTGATAATAGGAGATGTGGGTTGCAACTTTCCACTTGCTATGTTCAGATATCAATACTAAGGTTGGACAAAACTTCCGAATTGAACCGAATGGTTATTTTTAAATTAAATACCTGAACTGGTATCTAAATAAAAAACCGACAGGTTTGATTCAATTCTCGGTTCTAGACCTAGAATCGAATAATCGAATAATCTTCCTAATTTTTTTATCTTAAATAAGTCAATTATTTTTTTTTTCTAAATGAATAAGCTAACTAATTAATTTAGCTCAAACCTAAAATATGATTTTACTATATTCAATTTTCAGTCAAACTTAATTTAATCAAATTGATCTAAATTTTACCCAAATCTCTTATTCTACCATTGTATCTTTCTGCTGTTCTATTATTGTGGAACTCTCTATCTTCATCTTCTTGTGATTTTAACAATCATATCTATGAAGAACTCAATAAAGAAATGTACAAAATATATCACCAGATTGGACTACGTTATTCTGTAAAATTTAAAATTGAACATGTTGCAGTCGAATTAATATAGCATTATTGTTAATATAAAAAAATTAATTATTGTACGGAACCTGTGAACCTAATAAAATCGAGCCGAGCCGAGCCTAACCGAACCGAACTCGAACGGTTCTATAATTAAATTTGTACCTGACGGTTCCATTTACTAAATACCCGAAAATTTCGATTCGATTCGGTTCTTTTCAGAACGAAAGCGAACAGGACCATGTCCAACCTTAAGCAATATTATCTTTTATAATTTCCTAAAACAAAAACAATCTTTTATGGTAGAAAAAGATTCTCGTGAATGGTTGTATTGCTAACACAATTTATTTTTGTTTAACTATAATTTAAATTCGCCCCAATTAAAATGCAATTTTAATTAATACATCACCTCAATGACTAACATAGCATAACCCAATTAAAAATTATATACCACGATAATTCCATCGATTTATGCTTCATTAAATCCCAACAAATGTTGATATCCCGCCCAGTGTCCACCACAGTACACCAAACCACCTTCCCGACCACCCCCTTTCCTCTACCTTTTTTGAATGTGGCAACACCACCTTCCCAATACCCAAATGAAGCAATAAAAACTTCAGGTGAGTGTTAAGAGTTAGTTAAACAATCATCTTCCAGCTCAGTAGTTGCTTCATATCCGCTACCATATCATCAGCATTCTCGACTAGATAGAATCCTTGCTGTCTATTTCTTGTTTTATTCTTATGCTACCACTACCAATCTGTTGTTAACATATTCTAACAACCTCCTTGATTCTAGGAACTAATCACACCTATATCATCTAGAATCTTCTTATGTAATTACTTATACCAGCTCAAGATTGATCAAATTGTATTGAGCTTAGCTGAATTATTATCAATTTTACTTGCATTTCCAACTTGGTATCAGAGTCATCACAATGGTAAACGCCAACAACTCTTCACAAAATATTGATGCAAATTCTATTCCAGCCACTATCTCAAGTAGCAACGCTGGTCCAATTCAAGGAAGCAATTATGCCTCACCATTTGGTTCAAATTTAACCCAAGCAACGCTGGTCCAATTTAAGGAAACAATTATCCCTCACCATTTGGTGTAAATTTAACCCAAGTAGTATCAGTTAAGTTTGAAAAAAACAATTTCCTCCTACGGCAGAATATGATCCTCCCCATAATTAGGGGACACGGCCTTGAAGGATACATTCTGGGGACAAAGTTGAGTCCACCAGAATTCATTGGCACTCAGATTGCTGGTGAAGCCGTTACCAGCATTGAAATGACAAAGAACCCAAAATATAACCAGTGGTGTCAACAGACTAGTTGCTAATGGGCTAGCTCTACTCCTCTATGACTCCCGATATATCCATGAAAGTTATGGGAACCAAGAACTTAAATGAATTGTAGACAGCAGTGAAGGAAGGCTATGGAGTACAGAACAGGTCTAGGATAACGTTTCTTACTGGTGAGCTTCAGAAATCAAGAAAATGAGCTATGAGCATTGACCAATACCTCAACAAAGTCAAGCTACTGGCAGACAACCTAGAAATTGCTAGAAAGGCCATCCCTCATTCTGAATTGGTGACTCAGGTTCTGGCAGGCCTAGATAAAGATTACACCCTAATTGTTGTTCAGATCAATAGTAGAGATAACGTTACTTGAGGAAAACTGCAGTCAACATTGATGACATTTGAAAGTAGATTGGAGCATCTCAACACAGTTAGAAATGAAATGGCAGGAATTAACCTTGATCACCA